TTACTTTTACTTTGTGAGGTCATTGTTGTGTAGTGTGCTTGCCATGTAACTTAGGTGTTCATTGGACAGTAGCCATCGTTATGATTGGGTCATGATGAGACTTCAGGGTGGTGTATAAGCCAGCATCCTAAAGCCTGTTAGGGTAAGGGGCAGCCCTAAATATGAAGTTATGTAAAAATGAGCACTGGGACTTCCCACTGATTAAGAACTAAGATCCTAAGCACAGTATAGCCAAAAAATAAAATAAATCTTTAAAAAAGATAAAAAATGTGAACACCTTCATTTTTAAAGAGGTTAGCAAGGAAATGGCATTGATTTTTGTAATGAAATTTTATTCTTGGTAAAGATCGACATGCTAAAAGTAGGGGATTGATTGGAAGATGAGGGTGTCCTATTTCTCCATAGTTTATATATTCTTTTTCCAGCTGTATCACTAACTCTATAAATAAATTAGGAAAAAGAGTTTGATCTATAATATACCTTAGTTTCTATACATGAAAATTGAGGTATCATCTGTCTTATATGGGTAGTTTGAAAGATGAATGAAAATATATAGAAAACTTTGAAGTCTTGCTGAGGGGATATTAATAAATATAAAGAATTACAGTGGTAATTACCATTACAAATAAGAATTCTCCTTTCTAGAAGTATTTGAGGAAGACAGAGAAAACCATTGTATTGTACTGCTGATTTCAAAGAAATTGCTTCAAAGGCACTAGATGCTGAGAAATTAAATGTTTTCAGGGAAAGGAACATTCATGATTTTGTTGTTTAAAGGTGTTTGTTTTAAAGTTACACATGAACGAGTGAAAGAAGTTTTATTCCACATGTCTTTGCATTCCAGTGGGTCTATTATATCCAAGAGGCCATAGGATCAGGCTGTAGACTTCTGTTTTCAGTTCCCTGGGTAAAACGATGTCCTTTGCTTTCATCTCATCACCACTTAGGTTCCTCAGGGTAATTAAGAGGTGGAAGAGAAACGCACCTGGTCCGCCTCTCCAGGAGATTTCAGCTGTATTTCCCAACTGCATTGTTAGTTCAGCCTTGAGGACCATGCTGCTTATAGTGGCCCTTTGTTCTGCTGTAAGTGCCCTGAGACCAGAAGGAGATTACCTGACAAAACCGTTTCTCAGAAATGGAAAGTAAAGTCTGCTCACCTCTTGCATCCCCACCCTGCACTTTATTACCGCACGTACCCATGCTTCTGCAGCCACGTAGTGGAGGCAGGAAGATAAGTCACGGAACAGAGTGACATGCACTCTCTCTCAGGTCCAATACCTGCTGCAGGAGATGCTCGCGTCTGGCCTCCCTACTTTAAAGATGTCCTCAGGTAACCTGCACTATCCATCTTGTTACTGGACACTTGGTTCTCTCGTTAGTTGTGCATTTTCTCTTTTCTGTGCTGCTATTCAGGGTCGCATTTGTCTAGTTTCCATAAATGAAAGACTCTCCTGAATCTCTGAGGCTGCATCCAAGTCAGAAGATCTTACAGTTTTTGTTATATCACCATTTACTTTAAAAACTATATTCTTTGTCCTTTAATTTAGTTTTTTGTTGTAACATAGTGAGATATTTCATGATTGACCACAAATATTAGACACTGAGTCTGTAACTACTATCATCACTTTAAGATGAAATGATCCAATTACAGTACCTCAAGTTCTGGTCATTCCCAGGGACAAAGTGCCCTGTGCTTTTGGATCTGGATAATTACCCAGGGGCAGTCTAAGGACGCACTGTGAAAGATCTCAAGGAAGAAAAGGCAAACACTACACACTTGGGCTCTGTGAAACTAACCACCATAATTCTAATTTTATGTGAGTGCTCTGTGGTCATAAATAGCTACCTATTTTCTTGAAGGTGTAATTCACAATGGACATTTTAATTTATAAACCTTTCCCTGCTAAGAAGTTACAAACATTGATCAGAGTGCAATTTTAAACAGAAGAGCAGGAAAAAAAAATCATTAAAACAACAGGTAGGACATTTATTTTTACAAAAGCAATAAACATGAGATGGATAATATAAACTCCATTCATCTATGTCTGACTTTTGAGATCTGTTGCTATCTGCAATATCAGTTTCCTGTATCTAGTTCTGTTCCTCTGTAATATACTAATTTAAAAAAGAAAACATTTTGAATTGGCACCTTTTGTGTTTCATTATTAGTACTGTGCCTGAATGCAAAACCAACAATTTGTATATTATATGTGATTACCCACTAATGTCCATGCAGAGTATATTGTCACTAAATCAGAAGTTCAGAACTGAACAACTGAGGCCTAGAAATATGTTAAAGTAATTTTTAAACAATTGAAATTCTAATAAGTACAAGCTATGTATGCATAAAATCTGTTAGGTTGGGTATCATCAGGGAGGAAGAAATTTTCCTCTTCCCTTCCAGGATCTTCTGGCTGGTTTATGAATTAAATTGACATGAGACAGATTAACAGGAGAAAAATCAAGATTTAATACCATGTATACACAAGAGAGACCCAGGAAAACTGAGTAACTTGCTAAGAAGGCTGAACCCCTCACCCTAAATACCATCTTCAGCTAAAGACAAAAGAGGATGTTGGGAATAGTAGTTTGGGACCTCAAAGGGGAGGAAGGCAATTCATGTGAAGATAGAAAATCAGATGTTTGGGAAACGCTTGTTCAGTGGGTCGAGCTGTCACAATGGGATACAGGGTGGACTCTGATCTCTAGACTCTGTCTGGTTCCCCCACCGCATCAGGCCCATATTCTCTGAAGATTCCTCTGGTGATGGCTCTATTTCAGGAACAGGCCGCCTCTACCTAAATTTTTTTAGGCAGTTATGGGGCAGGTCAAAGTTTCTTCCTAAGTCTTTTGGGAGATTTGTTTTCATCTCAAAATTATCTTCATGCCAAAGAGACTTTTGGGGGGTGGCAAGTTTTGCTGTCTTGCACGTTCAGAATGTTGATGACACATCAGAAATACCTCTAAAGGCACCACAAGGAACAGTGTTTCTCCTTAGGAGTAGGTCAGCGTGTTTCCTGTTTTCTGCCCGTGCCAGATAGCCTTAGACCATACGCGAGTCAGGTGGTTCTGTGTGAATTTATGTAAACACAGTCCTAACGCATCATTTTTCCTGATCACGAGTTTTATTTGTATTATTTTCTTTCATAATACTGTTTGGTCACACAAAATCAACTTTTCTTCTGTAGCTTCTGATCTCAGGATTTTAGTCTAACATCCCTGGGTTTGCAAATACGTGCTTTTGTTGTTAGTCACTACAAAGCATGTGGGAAGCAAGTCAAGTTTAATTAAAATGAATAAAATTGCATGCTTATAATCATCAACCTGCAAGAATTAAAATATTGATGACTCAGCTGTGGTGAAATTAGGGAGGACTGAAATATTGGTCATACCATCCTGTTTGAAAATGTTTTTCTCTATTTGAAACAACAAAATCAAACTAAAGAAGAAACACATTGATTCATCATCCCCCCCACCCAAACCCTCCATCTTCAAACTTATTTCCTTCCTAAAGAAAAATTCCCAGAAATTCTATCTGAATTATTTTTATCTATAGAAACTCTATCTGGATTTTTTTTAAGTTATAAATCCTTCATATGAATGTCTTAGTCTTATTATTGGAGGTAAAACTCATGCTTCATTAGAATTTATCCAACAGCTGTTATATGTGGCCCTGTCTGAGTTACTTTTAATAGATCAAAATAGGCCTTACATCTGACATCCCAGAGTAGTTACTGAAATTTTAACTAAAATGCTGATTTGGGCAGCTGACTTTGGACTGCTTACCTGGCAAAGCAGGGTCTGGAAGCAGTTCTGATTTAACCTCATTGTGCTAATTACTGTAAACTCCTTTCATGAGTAGGATAATAATTGTCACTAGAATTGTTGCCCTAAAACTAGAGTAACTATGCAGCCACTAGATAACAATTTATGGTTGTCTTGAGTGTATGTGTGTATGTGTGCTGACATTTAAGAAGGTATCAGAATTCAAGTAGTGTCAGTTTTTCAATTGACACTTTCAATATAAGGATATGTGTCTATTAATGAATATATAAGCATACAGCCTATCAAGACAATATTACTCCTGTTGCACAAAAGTGCTTAACAGTGATTGTTGATATGCAGTCTTCATAACATCTTAGCAGAAAGACATGGGAACACTGGCTCCATCCTTTAGCTTACCGCTGCTCTCAGACTGTTGTTTGGAGAACTGGATTGTTGGTTTTTTTCTCACTCACTCTTGTATAAGTTATTTACGCTTCTTTATCATCTCCTCAACTAGGGTCTTCTGAAGTCAAGAATTGTGTTTTGTAAAATCTCTAGGTCCAATATAGAACCTAATTCATGGCATATACAGACAGACAGATTTATTTAAGAATCACCTGGATTTCATTTTGCAGTCATTATACAAAAATATACCTTTGTTCACTTACCTGTCTTTTTTTTTTTTTTAATTTTAAGCAATAATCAGAGTAGGCACACTACCCAAAGCTAAATACCTGTCAAGGGGATCTCTTAGTCCCCAAAAAGGCTCTTTGTAAACTATGAATTTAAAAAGTTTAAATATACCTTTAGCAACCTGAAATTTGCTGAATTGAAATTTTAGCAACCTGTATTTCTATATTCTGTCAACTTCCAGAATTGTTGGCATAGTCACCTAGTATCAGCAACACAGAACTAAATAAATTTCAATATAATTTTAATCCATTGCCGTTTCCAAAGAGATGCATTAGAATGGGTTTTGCACTGTGAGATGCCATCATTAAAAATTTATGCAAATTAAATAACAGATTGCAGACCTGTGTATAGTCTCATTTTTCAAGAAGTGGAAATGTTTTTTAAATGAATTCTTTTATCTAGTGAATTAATTGTAATTTGTTGATCATATTTCAAACAGAAAATTAAAATTCATCTTGGAATAGTGATAATGCTTTTATGGTGGTGAACAGATTGAATCAGATAACAGTATCTTTTGTAACAAGTTCTTATGTTTTCTATAGGTGGATAAGCGGAGCAGCTGTAGTCAATGCATTTTACTCTTCAGGCAGAAATCAGATAGGTAAGGTCTATTCTTAAATAATCGTATAATATTTCTCTGTTGGTCCCATGCTTTAGTGCTTTGCATGACCAATTTATTATATTCCCTACAAAAGCACTGTTGAGGCTGAGTTACTGATTTATTGAATATCCTCCTTGGAAGTAAATGTATCCATGTACCTCTTTTCACTATAATAGCAAAATTTAAATCAGTATAAGTCACATTAAGTGGTTTTGTTTTTTTATAACATTCTCATTTATAGCTAAATGGTTTATCTTATTGCTAAGTACTTTTATTTCAAACTGCTTTTTTTAAAAAAATTCCCTTATGGCCCCATAAAGTTAAATTAACTTTAGGGCTTTCTAAGCATCAGCATCTTAAGTGGTTTAAGTTTCAAGAACCAAAGTTTCCGAAATCTGATTTTTTTCTCAGTTCTCTATGCAGGCATTGGTAGAGATGATCCTGCTCTGTATCATTGTTTTTCCTAGAAGGTTCTAAGAAAGAGGCTCAGAAAGTTGCAAAGTCAGTTTTACTAGGTTGAACCATATGGAATTTACTTAACCACTTTTGATCCAAAAAAAAATTTATGTTCACTAGTAGTAACATCACATAAATAAGCATGGAAATTAATACTTCAGTGAATAATACTATGAATAATGAAATGGCTTAATAAAACAAAGATATATTTTTTTCTCTTCCTGGGAATACCTTGACATCTTGCAGCTCTCTTTTAAGTATCTTACAAATAGATATATTTTCCCCCCCAAGGGTTTTAGTATGAAGAAAGACAACCAACTGGTTTAGTACTTCAGTGGAAGTATTCTAAACCGTATAGCCAGCTTCTCCAGGTTTGTTCAGTCCAGCCCTTCATTTCTAAGTGTAGTTAAAAATCAAGTGGGAAGCTAAAGTTTGATGATACTTCTTCCCATTGCTTTTAAAACTAGTCTGATACATCACCCAGCTAGTAAAATGATTACCTGAACCTAGGTCAGAGCCTATTTAACGATCAACTCAGAACCCATGCAGTCTTATCCTTTGTAAAGTATTCCTAGAAACCATTCAGACCTTTTCCTGGAAGTTGCTCGGTCATGTCCAACTCTTTGTGACCACGTGGACTGCAGCCCTCCAGGCTCCTCTGTCCCTGGAATTCTCTAGGCAAGAACACTGGAGTAGGTGGCTATTCCCTTCTCTAGGGGATTTTCCTGGAGACCCAGAGATTGAACCCAGTTCTTCTGCCTTACAGGCAGATTCTTTACCATCTGAGCCACCAGGGAAACTGGCTATTATTAAAGACCTCTGCTTTTTCTCTGGAGAGTTTCACTTTGAAGACCTCTTTCATATTCAGTAGTTGTGTCAGGCGTAAAGTCTAGCTCATTCTGCTGCTGCTGCCGTTTAATCACTAGGTCGTGTCCAACTCTTTGCAACCCCATAGACTATAACCTGCCAGGCCCCTTTGTCCATGGGAGTCTCCAGGCAAGGATACTGGAGTGGGTTGCCATTTCCCTCTCCAGGGGATCTTCCCAAGCCAGGGATTGAACCCACATCTCCTGCTTGGCAGGTGGATTCTTTACTATTGAGCCATCTGGGAAGCCCCTCGTTCATTCAAGACTTAGACTAAATAGGATAATTGACTTTTTAAAGGGTTCCCAAGGCAAAGTGAGGCAGCCTCAACTCCATTAAGGCAGACTAAAGGATACCGCTTTATATTAATCCAATGCAGGATCCTATCAGACCTAGTGCTGAATCATCCCCAAGAGACCGCTCTGGCATGTTCATCCTCTCAGTCCTCTAGAGCAGGTCAAGACAGACTTCGCTTGTCTCTAAATTACCCCTGGTTCCTGAAGTTGGCTCAAAATTGGTCTGCCTCAGAGATTACCTGAGCAGAGAAGACCTAGGTATGTTCTCATTTTGAATTTAACACCCTCAAACCAAACAAGCTACAGCAAAAGGAAAAAGAAGTTAAAAGTGGCCTGACGTCTCACAAAGTGGACAGTTATCATCTGAATAATCAAGAATTGGCTGTAATAAACATTCTTAATGTATAAGAAAGACCTCTTAAAGATGCTTAATATAAATTCCTCTGATGGAAATAAGAAATCTGAAAAATTGCTAACCTCTTTTCATATGCTTTCTGCTAATAACAGCAGTTCAGAGAAAGGGAAAGTGTCATGCATGAGAATGCTTTGACGTGTACATTTTCTCCTTGACAATTCATTTAAATCTCCAAAATGGAGATGGTCTTAACTAAAAACAATTGAAAATCCTGATTTCTCACTTTCTTCTTCATAAAAGTGTATTTGTGTGCCTATGCATGCCTATCCATACCTAGATATATAGCTTCTGCAACATTCTTTTAATGGATTTGATATCATGTGCATCACAGAATTAGAATTGGTGTCGAATAACATGTCTCATAAATGACCCTGCCACCTTCACACAAATCCCCTAAAGTAGATCACATGCAATTTCTTGCAGGATTGATCTTTTTATGTTATGGTAAAAAAAGAACTTGTTTTATTATTATATAGGGAGTTACTTTAATAATAATAATAATAATAACAATATATTATTGTTATAATAATTATAATTATTCTAATAATATACTATTATTATATTAATAATTTCTACTTTTTAATTCATTTCCCACCACTTTTTGTCATAACTCACACATGTAGGCTACATTCCAATTTTTATGCATCGTTGCCCCTGCTCAAAAGCAAAAAGTCAACTTTCGGGACAGGACGGCATGCTGAAAGTGTTAAATTCACTTGTTCCTCTTCCTTGTGTAAATGCACCATAGAGCTTTAGGGACCTTTCATGTCATTAGAAAAGCTGCACTTGAATGTTTTGTCAAGTGTTTCTCTGTAAGTTTCAGGCACTATCCAATCATCTTATTAAACTTTCAAGTCTTATCCAAGGAAATGACAAGTCATTTGAGAAGTCTTACTACTGCTGCATTCTCCTTTTTCAGTAAACAACAAAATTCTTTTCCAATTTTAGGTAATTTATAAGTAATTTATAGTATATTCAGCCTGGGTGATCTATGACTACCTTGACATAATTAAACTTTCTAAAATTGTCTTACTCATTGTTAGGACTCTTATTTTCAGACTTGAGAATTAAGAGTAAATTTTTCCAAACATGTTGCTATTTCATTTAATATAAAAACAATGTTTAATTTTTCCACCAAAATTGATTTTATCTGATTGCACTCTTGAGCTTTACATCAAAGATTCTCAAATTGAGCTGCTTGCAGCCTTAAAAAAATAAACCAGGGAAGTGAGGGGATAGGCATGGGGAGAAACACTGTCTTTTGTTTCATGGACCAATGGTGTATTTAATTAACTAACTTGTTGACAACCATGAACATAAAAAATGCACAACTAAGCAGTTGGTTATTATCAACAGTTGTGATGTCTACTAGTAACAATGATAAGACTAATCAGTAAAATCCTCATAAATATTTAGCTGACAGAGTAAAAGGAGAAATCATGATTTCCAAAGTTGAACTTGAAGACTAGTATTGAATATGAGCCATAAAAATCTTATCACTTGCCTGAAAAATGTGTATCAGGCTATAATTAAAACAGCAGGATCTTTATAGTTAATGTTTAGTCTTAACAGTGTGTTTCATAAGAGCATTTTATATAATGGATGGATTTTAATCAAAGTACATAGTGTGGGAGATAGTCCTCACTTTAAGTTAATAAAGTACTGCACATAATTTTTATACTTCAAGCTAAAAATAATTTCTTGGCACCGTTGATAGCTCAGGCAGCTACATGTGACGTATAATGTTCATCAGAATTCTCCAAGGACAAAAATTTTGTGTTTTTTTTTAACTTAGTCTTGATTGTTAAGACAACTTTCCAGATATTTTTTAAAGATCTAAAGAGCACTTAAATTGCCCAGTGTATATTTTTAAAGTCTCTTCTGTAAATAGCTCATATTTATCCCTGAAACACTTACAAGTTAAGGTCATACTCACCCCAGCTGAATGACAAAAAGCAACATTTGCTGCTCTATATTAACTAGGTCTTATGTTTCTTAAAATAAGGGCCTTTCTTTTGTCCTTTTAATGTTCCATGCAGTAATAGCCCAGGCCTTTGCATGTAGTAGACGTTGATTCTAATGATTTTTTTATTTTTGCTTACAGAACATAATGCTTCAGTGCATACTAAAATTTTACAATGTGAAAGATAAAATCTCAAAGCTATGAATGTTATGAGGAGAGGGGCGCACAGGGGAGATGGAGAAGAACACCATAGAGACAAAGGCCAGGAAGAAGGATAAGCCATCCAAGGTGTTTTAGCAGGGTAGTGATAACGAAGACAGTGGCACTTTAATTGGCAGGCAGGATGGAGTAGATTTAGGATAGATTGCAGTTGGGGGAGACTAGAAGTAAGAAGACCTAAGAAAACCAATTAGGAAATTAAGTAATTCTTCAGGTAAGGAATGAGAGCGTAAACTCAGAAGGTGGCAGTAGGACTGACAGGAGGAGACAAACAGAAGAAATGCTACTGGAAAGAAGGTACAGGACCTGACTGTTTCCTTACTAGATCATGTGAGGACTTTGTGAAAAGAAAGGAGACAAGAAAGATAAATAGAAAAATGTTCACTGTGGGTGATTGAGACTCTTCACATGCTATTAGCAGAAATAATAAAGTCAGATGGCTTAGAAGGGAAATGAGGAGTTTGATGTGTGACACATGAAATTTAAACAGTGTGAAATGTCTTAAGTATAGAAAATTAGCTAGTTAAGACAGGTGTCAGTGTAGATATAAAAATTACAATTCATTTATTTAGAAGTCTTTAGGACACTGTAGGAAATTCACTCATTCATTCAGTTATTGATTTATTCAGCACATTTCCTGAGTACCTATTATATTCCAGTTACTATCCAATTTAAGGTGCTAGAGATAATTAAAAATTCAAATGGACTCAAAAACAAATAAATACATGTACGTGCAAACAAATCTATGCTCTCAAAGAGCTAATACTTGAGGTGCTTTGAGGAAGACATGAAAAATGAAGGACTAAACAACCATAAAAAAATAAACAGTCACATGCCTTAATGAAAATTTAAAGAAGTTATGTGATTAGGGGGTACTTTTGATTGTCTCTGTTTATTTACTAAACTATTGTAGATGGATAAATTGTTAGTCACATTAAAAACAATACTTCTGTTATTAACTATTTCTCACAAATATTTGCAGTGGAGAAAAGACCTTCTGAATGAGATGGTAATTTTCCCTTGCTCTAAATTCCTTATAGCATAAAAACAATTTTAACAGATGTTATACAGTCAGTTGTGATTATAAATCACACTGGTGATATGGTGCACTCCAGGATAAACTCTTTACTGTCATAAACAATAAATGGCCTGGAGACTTCCCTGGTGGCCCAGTGGTTAAGAATCTGCTCTTTCACTACAGGGAACATGGGTTCGATCCCTGGTTGGGGAACTAAGATCCTGCTTGCCTTGGCAGTACGCCCAAAATAAATAAAATAAAATATAAAGAAATAACAGCATCTTAATATCCTTATTTAAAAAACCAATAGGTGACCTGCATTTGTTTCTGTCACAGAAGGTTTTTGTATACATTTAAGTGAAACTGACATACTGGAACGCAGCTTCACAGGCAAATAGCCAATCTAGTGCCTGTCGTTATAGGAAAAACTACAAGCAATCTTTAACCGTCTTCTTTGCTTCTAGTCTTCCCAGCTGGCATTCTGCAGCCACCCTTCTTCAGTGCCCAGCAGCCTAAGTCACTGAACTATGGGGGCATTGGCATGGTCATAGGACACGAAATCACCCATGGCTTCGATGACAATGGTAAAGTACTACTGATGCTTTTATTTGAATGAGATATACCCTAGTAAGCCTAATTAAGAGTTATAATCATGTATCAATATAAAACATTTATTCATCAGCATTCATTAGCCTAACAATCACTGCACTTTTAATGTTCCTTTTAAATTGTTGCTTTTGAAGATCAGAATTTTCTAATAGTGAGGTTTAGCAATGTGTGCTTTTACTCTGACAGAAGAAAACAATATCCACATTGAGAAGACATTGATATTTATCAACACCAATGATACTGTTTCTTATTTCATGATTATGTCTTATCTCTCCAGAATTTTAGAGGACAGAGTCCATGTCTTAAAATCAGATGTGAACTCAGAAAGTAAGGTGCCCCCAGGATTTTTAAACTTCCTGTGGTCAGAGACTTTTTATTTTGACTGCATCTCACACCTACTACCTAGTTCAGAGCCTTGCAGACAGTAGGAAATTAAATGTTTACATGCTGCCCCAGATAGCAAAGTAGATTTCGAGTTTCGGTGAAATTTGAGAGGAATAGAAGTAAAGACATGAGATGTGTAGAGAGGTAGGAGTTGAAGCTGTAACAAAGATCAGTTCACAATTGGAAAGAAAATAAGAACAGTAGAGAGAAAATAGTTAAGCCTTAATCTAACTTCAGAGAGTCAGAGGAAGAAGAGGAGACAGGAGGGATATGCTGCTGCTGCTGAGTCGCTTCCGTCGTGTCCGACTCTGTGCAGCCCCAGAGACGGCAGCCCACCGGGCTCGCCCGTCCCTGGGATTCTCCAGGCAGAACACTGGAGTGGGCTGCCATTTCCTTCTCCAAGAGATATACTAAGGGTCTGTTAGCTCAATTAAACTATATAGCAATCTTCACGGGTAGGTATTAATACTATTTCCATTTTTCAAACAGAAAAAGATAGAGACGCATAAGACTTGGTCAAAGTTACAAAACTGGGAATTGGTGGAACCAGGATATGGGTTCAGGTAGTCTGTCTTTATAGCCCTTACCTTATTCACTACATCATAGATAACTGTTTAAAAGATGACAAAATCAAGTGTCAAACATATAATGTATATAGATGCTGCTGAAGATCAAGAAGGAGAAAGAACAATGTAGTTAGGATCAGCAAGAAAGCTCCAAGAGTAAAGGTGACTTTTGTTCGTGCTTGAAGTAGAGCAAAACTATGAGTCTGCGATTACTAATGAAGGTTTTGAGATAGGAAGTGAAAGCCGTAGTGAAATACTGACCTCTTTAAAAATCTCAGAATATCAAAGTAAACAGACTTGGTTCAGGCAAAAATCATCCACCAGAAACAAGTCATGATTTCAGGAGTATTTATCTGGTGGCCTTGGCCGAGACATCAACAACCAAGTGGGTGAAGTTGGATTAATCTGGATTAATACTAGGGCATATCAGCAAAGAGAGCCCCAGTGGCCTGGTTTTTATCAACCCTAGATGAGAAAGCAGAACAGTTTATCTACTCATCTGTCCGGTTTAATATTCTCTTGCATACTTGGTATTTCAGTCCTTGCACTTTGAATTAAAGATATCTTATTGCAACTCTTGATGTAATGAGTTCTCATTTTACTTAGATAAATATATATTCCAGGCAGAAATTTTAACAAGGATGGAGACCTCGTTGACTGGTGGACTCAACAGTCTGCAAATAATTTTAAAGACTTATCCCAGTGCATGGTGTACCAGTACGGGAACTTCTCCTGGGACCTAGCAAATGGACAGCATGTATGTCGTCAGCCTTCTCCTGAAAAGTTGTATTCAATCTTAAGTGAACTACTGATGCTTTCTTAACAATCCAAACATAGTTAAGGATCTTTAAGTGTCTTTTTTTTTTAACAGCTCAATGGAATTAATACCCTGGGAGAAAACATTGCTGATAATGGTGGTATTGGCCAAGCATACAGAGTGAGTAATAATATTTTCTTTCCATTTTAGTGGTTAGAGTGCATATTGATCACATTTGATCATTCATTTTAAAAAGCCTTTTGCAAAAGGTACTTGTAACAATAGAAAATTGAAAATACACAGGGAGAAAGGGGATTGTAAATATGCTAATAAGAAGGGGCAATACAATTGATAGGATTGAGCTGAATACCATTCTCTAAGCTTCAAAGAAACTAAGGAGAAAAGGAAACAGAATATTATAATGACAGAATTGAGGAGGTATGCAAGTTCCATAGAGGAAGCAACATTTTTCTAAGAAATAATCTCTGAGATAGTTTTTTAGAAAAGATAGTCTACAAAAAGATTTATTATAGAATCATTCATTGACGTACTGAGCAGGACCCTCAGTTTCTTGGCAGGTGAAGCAGTATTTGGGAAGATTAATCAACATAAACCCAGTCCAATTACAGTGATAGTGAAGGGCTGAAGTGACATGGTTCCTGCATGTGGCCTTGTAATGGTCCATACCATAAATGCAGAGGAGTGTATTGTTGGAATATCCCTTAGAATCTCATTTAGGCTTGCATTCAACAATACTTTCTGAGGCCTTCACTCTGTGTTTGGCACTATTCTTGGTGCTAGAGATCCAGCTTCAAACCCTTTACAAAAGATGCCATTATTTGATGACTTGAACCAGGATTAAAGGTGGCCTAGCAGATACTATGTGCACAAGAAAAAGTAGAGTTTTTCACAAAAGAGTGGGGGAATAATGGCCTTGGAAGTAAATATGGAGTGAGTATGATTTTGAGTTGTTTTCCCAACCCTGAGACAGCCCACATGTGGGAGAAAAAGGCAGAGGCTACTTGAGAGGACATAGGGGATAAGGTGTCCACAGGATAGAGTCAGGCTACTGACATATGATGGATGGAATATTCATTGTAGTGGAGGAAGATGTAATGTTATTTGTTCATCACAGAGATGTTTGGGTTGGAGGGGAGAAGAGACTTAGTGGTTGAGTCAGGAAGAAGGAATAATCAGAACAATGCGGACGAGGTGACTGGTGAGGCCTGTGAATTGGCAGCGACCCAGGATGATCAAAGTGTGAGGCTTGGGAGATAAATCTGACTGAAAATTTTCCAAAAGAATGAATCCCAGCCAAGTCCTGGGGGATGGTAGATTACTGCTTCTTTGAATAATTGATTTTTTTTTTTAAACTGGATGCCAGACATTGTACATTTTACATTTTTGGGTGGAGAAAATTTTTGTTCTCCTGTTAATATTCTTGAGCTTTATTTTGCGGTGCAGTTAAATCCCTCAGAAATGACTAGATCCTTTTAGATCTTGCTTTTACATCGTGTTAGGTACATCTGGGGTAGTGCTCAGTCTAGGGATAGTTCTTCACTGCTGAGCAGCACCCTACTGTGTGAACCTAGCAGTCTTCCATTCTTGTGTTGTGTGAGTACCAGACATTTCATCTCTAATCCTTCCCTGCAGTTCCTTCCCTAGCCTTGGATAGTTTGCCCACATGTGTGCTCAGGTACTCAGCTGAATATTAAGGGGATATTTGATTTCTTAGAGTCTTTTTCTCTGCATTTTCTCCTCTTCACCCTGTCCTTGGTGTCCTTGAATTCTCAATGCCTTTTCCTCATCCATTCAAGAAGTCCACCAGGCTCCTGGGGTTTCCTGCTCTATTTTGTGGTCCGGAGTGCTCAAGTTATAAGCTGGACCAGTCATAGGGCTCCTCTTGTTTACCATCTCCTAGAGATCAGTTTTTGCCTGATGTCTAGTGTCATGCAAACCATTGCTTAATATATTTTGTCTATCATTTGGTTGTTTCAGTGGAAGGATAAATTCAGTCTCAGCCACTCCATCTTGCCTGGATGTGGAAGGCATTGACCCTTTTAATACTCCATGGTGATTCTAATACACAACCAGATTGAAAATCACTGCTGTAAAAATTCAGCCAAAGTCTGAGTTAAGGGTACTTCCATGGAGCTCCTCATGTAGAACAAGTACAGGTTTATAGTAATGAAGCAAATTACAGTGCAAATATATTATTATATATGAAGTCTTGCCATGTAATACTCCCTGGTAGATTGTTAACTCCCTCAGAGGAGTAGGTTCATGTCTTTCCTATATCCCCAGCGTCTTTGCACATTAGAGATGCAGAAGATCTGTGTTGATGGCAAGCAAGAAGAAATGAAATATATCTTCTGTGTATCTAATTATCACCTTTCTTTGTATTCAGTTAAAGCTAACACATCTCAGAAATTTGTTGTCAATCCCATTCTTAAGTATATTTTGTAGTGGAAAACTATATTTTCCAATAGTGTCTATAAATCCTTAATAATTAAGGACATTTCCTGACATTCCAGTAATCTAAATTCCTTCTTCGTAGGGTGACTGAGGTTCACTTTATGGCCCTTTCTTCAGGGACCATAATTGCTCATCCTTATTCTTAGAGTCATATGGTGGTAAACCTCTAAGGAATCTCAGGAGACTCCCTTAACTTTCTGCAAGAATCTGTCAAATGAAATCTGTTGTGAGTCTCTTTTTACTGAGAGTGATAACTCAGCTCAGTATAGCAATTACAGATTCTCCTGGCTACTCTTTCTTCCAACTGGCTAGACTTACTCATCTATAGAACAACATTTAGGTGAGTTTTTCATCACTTATGTAAATCCATCCTTTCATTCAGTTAACATTTGTTGATTTTCTGACATAAGCTAGGCTTTTGTCATCTGTTAATCATTAATCTTATTCTTTTCAGAGTATTTGCAAGTAAATTCTAGTTTTCTTTCTAATCCATTAAATACTTGAAGGTTGCCATAACTAAATGTATCATTATGGTGATTCTGATATAAAAGGTTAATTACTTGGTCACATGATCTTCGAATAGGTTTATTTATAAATTTAGAAATTATAAACATCATGTTTCTATTTCATTAACTGCCTAGGCCTATCAAAACTATGTTAAAAAGAATGGTGAAGAAAAATTACTTCCTGGACTTGACCTAAATCACAGACAACTGTTCTTCTTGAATTTTGCCCAGGTATTGTTATCTTTCTTGATTGATAGATATGAAAATCATTTTGAGTTATAATTTCATACTAAGTTAGATATTGCATACTGAGTTTTCTTGTTTTAATCAATTGTGGCAGAGCATTTGATTGACTGACTTTCATTGTGTGTAACAGTCTATCAGACCATATTAATCATAATTATGCTTCTGGTTGCCTATTATTAAACATTATTTGAAGAGTAATTGGTTGTGGAATGCAGAATTTCTATTTAGTTTTTGCAATAGGAAGTTTGCTTTTCTTCCATACTGCCCAAACAAATAATCCTTGATGCAACCTGAGTACACTGCTTTCCTTTGTCTATTTCTATCCCTAGGTGTGGTGTGGAACCTACAGGACGGAGTATGCACTCAACTCCATTAAAACAGATGTGCACAGTCCAGGCAATTTCAGGTGTGTGGGTATCAGTAGTGTCATAGTGCTCCAATATTGGCCCCATGATTTCAGATTTGGAGGCTTGTTTTCTGTACAATTTGGAAATCCAGTGCTTTTCTTTTTCCTTTCTTTTTTTTTTTTTTTTTGAGGGTCTCAGAAAGAATGAACTGAACACATCAAGATAAATGCCATGTTTATGTAAGCATAGCCTTGACTGCTCTTATCCTCAGATTGTATATGACCTAGGCCCAGTTGTTGATGAATTCCAACAAAGATGTCACCTCAGAACAGCGGCACTACTTAAAGCTAGCAGAGACATTTCTAAGAGGCTACAAAAGGCAAAGCCCTAGAACCAGTGAGCAGCTGTTCCAAAAAGATTTCCATTCAATACAGAGGAAAATTTTCTAGTAATTAAAAGGTCCCAACGTGGAGTAAAGTTGTCCCCAAAACTCCAGGAAAGAGTATTATGAAGCAGAGTTCAGAGAACAACCTGGCAGGGATGTTGGGGGAAAATTCTGTGCAGAGGAGAAGGTTGAATTATAAGGTATCTAAAGTCCTTCCCCATTCAGAAAACCTAAGAGAACACCAGATTGAAAGAAGATCAACCAACTATCATTTGAATGTTACATTGTAAATCCTTGTGTGTCTGTTTTAGGGCCGAGTTCCTAATGCCTACCCCTTCCTCAGGTACTACCCTCTTCATCACCGATTTGCTGATCAGCGGCAGCACCTCTCAGGCATGATGAATGTGTGAGAAACAAATTAAAAATTCTGTAGGCTTATTGGGAAACAGTTTGAGAATGAAAGAAAGCTAATGGGCTAATTTTAAAAGCTTCTCCTAAAACAAACACAAACATACTACCCAGATCATTCACTCCTGAAAAAAATACACATTCAATTGTGAATAATAAAAAAGCATATTTAAAATTAAAGAATTTACTCATCTTATTCTTGCATCATCATCACCATTGAGTATTTGCCTTAACAGTTCTTTCAAATTCATTCATTCAACAATCGATTATTGTATGCCTATTATATGTACGGTGCAAACTAAATTTATCCTTGCTAGGATGTACAAATTATGTCCTTTTTTAGATAAAAAAGTTAAATGTTAGTCGCTTAGTCATGTCCATCTCCTTGCAACTCCACAGACTGCCCCCCGCAAGGCTCCTCTGTTCATAGAATTCTCTAGGCAAGAGTACTGGAGTGAGTAGCCATTCTCATCTCCAGGGGATCTTCCCAACCCAGGGATTGAACCCCGGTCTCTTGCATTGCAGGCAGATCCTTTACTGTGTGAGCCATGAGCAGCATAATCCCTGGACCAATTCTCATCATGGTTTTATAATTTTTAGGTTTTTCTTTTTTTTTTTTCATTTTTTTTTTTAAATTTTACTTCCAGTTTTATTGAGATATAATTAACATACAGCACAGTATAAGTTTCAGATGTATAGCATAATGGTTCAAATTGCATACATCATGAAGGGGTTGCCATAACATTAATAACTTTATTGAGCTTCTATTATCTCAAATAGATACAAAATTAAATGAAAAAATACCTTTTCCTTATACTGAGAACTCTTCCATCTTACTCTTTTAACTGTCATGTGTAACATCCAGTAGTATTAATTTTTTGTCATGTTGTGCATCGCATCCCTAGTACTTATTTATTTTATAACCAAAAGTTTTTACCTTTCAACTACCTTCATCCAATTCCCCTCCCCCTGGTAACCACAAATCTGATAGATTTTCCTCTGAGTGCATTTCTTTATTTTTGAGTATAATTGACTTACAATACCATGTTAATTCCTGCTGATTCAATAGCTTTACTTTTTTAAAGTTGTCTTTTTCCTTACTGAAGTCTTTAGAAGTTAAGGTCTAACAATCTGGGGATAACAGAGTATTTATAAGCTCACACAAATCACCATAACAATCTAATCTGTCAAAGCTTTATATATCCTATATATCCTCATGAACCAAAGCATATATCCATAAAAAGCCCAGGTTAATTTAAGTAATTTTAATACAGTACTTTGTATGTACAGCATCCTCAAAGAACAAGGGGTAGCATATTAACTTTTTGACAGCTAATGTACGTCTCTTGAGTATTACCATTTTTATTTTAACCAGTGGATTAAAATTTCTGTGTTAAAATAAATTTTACAACTTCCTGCCTTATTAACACAGTATCCTGAAGAAAACTTAAGTTTTCTTTTTTGATGATGCAGATTTTTGTTATGAGTAATACTTATGGTTTCACTGTTTATTAGGTTAGCGAAGGCCTCGAAGCTGTAACATGTGGAGTTATTCCTACACTACAGAGCCATTATGGTGATTTTTTTGACTTTTCAGTTAAAATTTTTTATTAGGGTTTTTCCACCTGTTGTCTCTTCCCTAGTTTTTTTTTTTTTTTCTTATCATGAAATTGCCTGCCTTCAGCCATCCCATTTCTTCATTCTTGTTGGCTCAAAAAGCATATTCTACAGTTTATGGTAGAAAATGAATGCAAGCCTTGAATTAAGAAAAACGCTGAGTTCCATTCAGGGCTCTGCCATTTATGATCTTTTCCTTAACCTCTGGGTCTCAATTTATTGATATATAAAATGAGAAGTAAATTATAATGAGAGTTGCTTGGAGGGTTAATGTTAACGTATATGAAATCTCTATTATATGTATGTGCTTGAAAATTAGTACCTGAACTATTATGTAGGAGAAATATGACCAGAATAAGAGTTCCTATGAATAAAGCATATGGATTTTGCAGTCATTCCCTATTAGCTGACAGTCAAGGGTTTTGGCGTTTTGTTTTTTTTTTCTCATTTCTTATATCTGCATAGTTCAAAATGTCAATAACTGATCACCAGAAAGTGATCATATAGGTAAACAAGGAATTTTTTTCTACCCTCAATTTTAAACTGAAAACAGTATTTTGTTAAATTATTTGTAACTTTCATTTTATTTGTTCTGGCCCAAAAGATGCCTCTTTGGCTATTTTTCATTCATAATAAGAGAAGTATGTGTTGATTTTTTATAAAAGGGTAAGTGGAATGCCAACCTTTTTTCCAGGAAAATTATTATTTTCTCTGGAGATAAAGGGATTTCCTTGGCAAAAGGTTGAGGTCACGTTTAGTTTTGGAAACAGGCTGCTTCCTGGCTGTACAAAGTCAAATACATTTTTTTTTAAAGAAGCTTAAAAACTAATAGATACTGAGTTGCTATTGAAAAATTGTGCATAGTGGTTTCTGTAGAAATATTCCTGAAATGAAGGGAGATTTTGTAACTTTATGCTTAAATAACCACACTATAAAAAGTATAAGGCCAGGTACGGTTGCTATAAAGTTGAATCTATAGAACCATATTGTGTGTGTGTGTGTTTGTGTGTGTGTGTGCTCAGTTGCTTTGTCCTGTCTGACTCTTTGCAACCCCATGGACTGTAGCCCACTAGAATCCTATGTCCGTGGGATTTTCCAGGCAAGAATACTGGAGCCAGTTGCCATTTCCTACTCTAGGGGATCTTCCCTACCCAGGGATCGATCCTGCATCTCTTGCATTAAAGGTGGATTTTTTTTCTACCACTTAGCCACCTGGGAAGCTCCCAAGCAACACTAGGTCTAGGCTATAATTATTTTATTCCTGCTAATTAAAGTCTTATGTACTTTAAACTTTGGTATTTAAAGTAAAAACCTGATATTCTAGAATTTTAAATGACTTCATTTGGAAATCTAGTTTTTGTTAGTTGTCTACAGTCACTTCAAAGAATGGTTGCTATGACACTACTTATTATACAATCTATAAATGTGTTTCTAAGGTTATTCAGATATAATATTTCTGTATAAGATATAAGGGCCTGGTCATTTTTTAAAGTAAATCCAAATAGACAAAAATGATACCCATGTCTGCTTCCTAAATAGTAAGGGTGCTAATCTAGATACTTAGATTGCTTGAGATCATCCTCCAGTCAGAATAAAATGTATTTTATAGATCCTAGTAGTAGTAGTTTAGTTGCTCAGTCCTGTCCAACTCTTTGTGACCCCATGGACTGCAGCATGCCATGCTTCCCTGTCCATCACCAACTCCCAGAGTTTACCCAAACTCATGTTCATTGAGTCGGTGATGCCATCCAAACTTCTCATCTTCTGTCGTCCCCTTCTCCTCCTGCTCTCAATTTTTCCCAGCATCAGGGTCTTTTCAAATGAGTCAGCTCTTCGCATCAGGTGGCCAAAGTATTGGAGTTTCAGCTTCAACATCAGTCCTTCCAATGAACACCCAGGACTGATCTTTAGGATGGACTGGTTGTATCTCCTTGCAGTCCAAGGAACTCTCAAGAGTCTTCTCCAACACCACAGTTCAAAAGCATCAATTCTTCGACACTAAGCTTTCTTTCTTCAGTCCAACTCTCATATCCATACATGACCACTGGAAAAACCATAGCCTTGATTAGATGGACCTTTGTTGGCAAAGTGATGTCTCTTTTTTTTTAAGAATGCTGTCTAGATTGGTCATAACTTTCCTTCCAAGGAGTAAGTGTCTTTTAATTTCATGGCTGCAATCACCATCTGCAGTGATTTTGAAGCCCAGAAAAATAAAGTCAGCCACTGTTTCCATTGTTTCCCCATCTATTTGCCATGAAGTGATGGGACCAGATGCCATGGTCTTAGTTTTCTGAATGTTGAGCTTTAAGCCAACTTTTTCACTCTTCTCTCTCACTTTCGTCAAGAGGCTCTTTAGTTCTTCACTTTCTGCCATAAGGGTGGTGTCATCTGCATATCTGAGGTTATTGATATTTCTCCCAGCAATCTTGATTCCAGCTTGTGCTTCATCTAGCCCAGCGTTTCTCATGATGTACTCTGCATAGAAGTTAAATAAGCAGGGTGACAGTATATAGCCTTGATGTACTCCTTTTCCTATTTGGAACCAGTCTGTTGTTCCATGTCCAGTTCTAACTGTTGATTCCTGACCTGCATACAGGTTTCTCAAGAGGTAGGTCAGGTGGTCTGGTATTCCCATCTCTTTCAGAATTT